TCTTTCCCTCTGCACCCCCCTTTCAGGGAGCTGTAAGGAATAATACGGTCTCCCCTGAGCCTCCTCTTCTCCAGGCTGAACTTCCCCAGCCCCCTCAGCCACTCTCCCCCAGGACTTGTGTTCCAGGCCCTTCCCCAACTCTGTTGCCTTTCTCTGGACATGCTCCAGCACCTCATCTATCAAAGGCATAAGGACAGCAATTGGTGTCGTGCCACAAACTCTTGCTAAAATTGCTGCTAGCTGTACTGAAAGTCAACTTTTGGTCTGAAGGTCACTGGGATTTTCTTTTTACAAAGAGAGACTTGGGTCTCCTATAGGGGGCCTCAGATAATTCGGCTGTCAAGGGCATTGTTTAAGCTATGGAATGTTTGGAGTGCTCCCCTGGGATGGCTGATGGGTGACAACATGGAAAGCTTTGAGTTTTTCCAGCTTTCTTCCTCACAAAAGTCCACCTTTGTCCTTGGCCGGTGCTACTAGAAGCAATTGATCTAGCCACTGCATGAGCCAAGTGCTCATTTGTGAGTCTAAAGAGTCAAATTATTGTCCCTTCACAACAGTTAATGAACTGATTTTTGAAAAAGAATTGTATCAGAAACATCCCAATTCATACCTCATCCTTCCACAATGACCTTCCACTCCCCAGGGGAGAAAAAGAAAAATCCTTTTATATTGTTTGCTCCTAAACAATTATGGAAAATAAAAAAAAAGCAAAGCACCATGACAATTACACTCCAGAAGCCCATCTTCCACCAGGCAAAAATATCTTTCCATCAACACCAACCTCCAAAGCAGTCAGGGAAAAAGAAAATAATCAGCTTTGAGTCTTTCTTGTGTTTATAACTGGAACTGAGACACAGAGATTGACCAGGGTAAGGCATTACTCTTCCCTTCATGCCATTTCTGCCCTCTTGCATGTTTATGTAACACATGCAAAAAACCCCACAATTCAGAAAAGAAACAAGAATATTAAAGAATTTTCAAACTCCTAGAACAAAGCACGATTCTTGAAATAACCCTCTCTAAATTGGCCTTGTCAATTCAGCTCAACACTTGCCTGCAAGGAATGACTTTTTGACAGTCAGCATCACCAGTTTCCTCCTTCCCCCAGCATTAGTGACATGTGAGGCAGGGGAGGAGAAAGGGCTTACTCCGGGGCTGCTAAATTCTTGTGATAGTTTTACAAGGCTGGTAAAAACCCATCTGAAGACTTGAAGTGCAGTGAAGTCAGTTTGGTACATCCGCCCACTCTGCAACCCAAGCCATCCCAGAAAAAGTCAGCCGTCCTGTCTCTTCCCAAGGCCAGCTGACTTCAAGCCAGGCTAGAAACCAGGTACTGTGCTTTACTGCAATAAAACAAGCTGTAGGATAAACTGGAGTCTTCCTGAAATGAAGATTAGTTTCACGACAAAGGTATCCAGGTTCCCCCCACCTAGACAGCTTCACCTTTAACCGTTGTCTTTTGAACAGTTAGTAGCATCTGCGCATTCCAAATGGAATTATCGGATACATTCACCATGACAACCCTTTTCAAAGGGAAAAAACAGTAACAACCAGACACACACCGGGTAAGAAAGAACCACCAGCATGATTTGGGTCATCCACAGAGGGTCTCTGACCAAGCAGCACACCGGCTTACCTCAGTATAACATCGGCTTGGACTCCAAACGTCTTCTGCTCCACTGCCTTCTGGAAGGACATCAGTGTGTTTTCTGGTGCCAGCTATGGGGGCAAAAAAGAAAAGCAATGAGAGATTAAAGTGGTAAAGTTTATGAAGCAGCATTAGTGAGGATGCTGGGAGGAAGGTTTAGAGATATTAAGAAATCAAAACAATTTAATTTGGCAGATGATGTAGTGGGCAGTTACACCGGAGTACCAGCATCCCCCTGGCAGAACTTCATCTTACTGAAGTCTGAAGACAACCAGTGCATTTGACTCCACTGATGGTCTTTCTCAGAGTTCAATGCTGAGTTAAAGACCTGCAGTACCAGACACCTGGCTAGCTTGAGGTCTGATACAAGATTAGTGTTTGAGAGATTTGCTTACCAGTGTGGTTCCCGAAAGAGTGGCTTGCTGGAGAACCCCAGAAAGTGATTATTGACATGATACCAATTCTCCATCCACAGGTTACAGATAGAGCTGTCTAAAACACCTTAACAGTTCTTCATGCTCCTACTTTTCCATGCAAACAGTGATTACAATGCCATTATAGAAAGAAGAAAGTCCATAAACCAGGTTATCATCAATACCATGGAGAATAACTAGACCACAGGTTCTGTAGCCCACATTTTATTTCCACATCTACTCATTCAGTCATCTATTACTCAGTCTAAAAGTCAGACGATTTCTCTAATAACAAACGTTCTAGTTAGTTTTTACAGCAATTAAAAAAAAAATAGTCCTAAATCTAGGAAATGTATCCCTATGGCTATCACAGATTAAGATTT